TGGTGCGAGCGTCTCTCTTTTGGTCGCGAGCCATGACTCGATCACACGCGCCCTGCACGCAGCAGCCGCGCACCAGATCCTAAGCCTCATATGGCAGCGCGCAAGCTGGCACCTGGAGGATACGAACAACTGGCTCATAAAATTGCCACCCGAAGCGACGACGTTTCTTTCGTTCCTTTTATGACACAGTGCGGATGGAAGTATGTTATCCTCTTCTGGGCCGTCATGCACCCCGTCGCTTCCTTACATCCTCCCTGCACCCGAAGGATCTTTACAATGATTACGCTAATTTGCATACTTATCCTAGCGTGCTCTACATCCAAGCTGGTCTTAGCCCAGGACGGAGGCTGCCCTGTGTCGTGCGGCCCTTCCCCTGTGCATCTACGGCGGACATGCGAGGCCACGATCAGACGCACACCTGCCTCAGGCCCGCCTTTATGATGACCCCCCTCCCCTCTCCCCTATCCTGCTCCTGCTCCCCCGCCTCCTCTTCCTCCTCCTGCTCCCCCTCTCAGGCGATGGCAAGATTGGGTTCAGTGGGACATGGTTTAGTCATGTGTACCAGAGGACGCCCCCCTCGCCCCATTCCGCTAACCGGAACTGCTGTGGCCCGAACAACACCTTCGGCAAACCTGGTTTCATGACTCCGGCCGATGTTTTGGGCTTCGGTGCCCAAGTACCAACCAGCTCCCCTTAACGGGTGTCCTGGCTATACCCGCCTCTCCTCCACCACCCCTCTCCCTCCTTTTCCTCCGGCTTGGCTCTGGCGTCCGCGCTTCCCGTCGGGAGGAGCGGACACGCGGGCGCCGTTGGGCGGCGGCCGCGCCCGCTCCCTCTCTGCGCGGGCGCCAGGGATGGCCGCACAAGTCGTGACGATGCCGCGCGTTTTTCTGGCCGTGTGCGCTCCCTTGGGGCGGCAGTGCGCCGGGCGGCACCACGGTCCGTGTGGACTGTGGCGGCGCACTGAGCTCCGAAGCGGCGTGTGGGTCCGCGGCGCGGCCCCGCCAGCATGCGGGAAAGGTGCCGGGCCCCTGGCCCCCAGGCCGCTGAGCCAGCCGGGCCGCGGCTGCCCAGGCAGAGCCACGGAGGGGTGGGTGGTGTGGCCTTCAGGTGGTCTGGCCCGCCCTCCGCGGGCATGGTTCGGGAGGCGCTGGGCGCGGCCTGCCAGATGCGCGATGCGAGGAGTGGGCCTCCCTCCTGCTTCGTCGCCAGCAGAGCGGGGGGAAGGGGTGAGGGGAACATGGTGCTGTTTTACTGTGCTGCAGGAGGTTCTCGAGGGTTCAGGGGCCCTCTGGATGTCGATGGTGGCTCTGGTGGGCGTGGGGCGGCGGTGGAGGGTTGCGGGCGTGACTGGCGCAGCGGCGAGGCCGTGCTGTCCCCCTCCTTCCTCCCGCCGAGGCAGCGTGCGTTGGCTCAGCTAGAATGACAATCTCAAGTACTTTGGCGGCGGCACGGTAATCTAACTCGGGCGCTGCACGATAAACGGGTGCAAAGGCAAGCCAAATACGGGCACACCGTCAGAGTACAGACAAGATGAATATCATAACTGGGGACACAACCACTCCCATACCATTCCTCCGCCTCCTCCGCCTCCTCCCTCACGCGTCCTGTGGCGTGTTTGGTCCCACTTGGCAGCCTGGTAGCCTGATCACGTCTTGGCTTTCTTCGCCTCCGGCTCCGCGACAACGCCGGCCGTGTCAGCGCTGCGCTTGCCAGCTGTGCTGGTCTCGGGAGATCGGCGGCAGGTCGGTGGAGAATAGATGATGATGAGGAAGAGGTCAAGAAGACAAGGACGGTAGGGAGGATCATAATGAAGAGGAGAAGACATGAAATGGTGCAGGACCAGAGTGCGTCTGCGAGAGGTGGCATGGAGGTGGGAGGACGAGGCGCAGCAGGAGGATCAGGAGCAGTGAGACATACATGTATGGAACAACCGCGTTCGCAACAGATGGGCTCGCAAACTCGCTGGACTACATGAAGAGCAAGATGCGGAGGGACATGAGAAGCAGAAAGGAGGAGGGGTATGAGGATGGATGGGGAGCAGAGCACGAGGGCAAGGCGAATGAGGCGAAGTAGTCAGGAGGTCAAAGGTGCAGAAATTAACAAGAAGATCAGATAATCAACGATGATAACAAAGGGAAGTATGTTCAATAACAGACGGGAAAGACACAAAGAAATGGTCTGGCGTCTGTCAACGTCTGACCCTCAAAGCCCCAGCGCTCGCTGCTTCAGAATCGTTGATGCCTCACCGACTGATCGGCCAATACCCGAGAGGCATGTGGACAACGCAAATACTGACAATAACGGTCAACATCGAATCGATGAATCGGATCGGATCGGAAAACACGTCGGATCGGGCTGCATCGGCACGGAACCGGAATCGAATCGGATCGGCCGCGCCAACAAGATGCACCACGGCACCATGCAAACGCCAGGCCGCATCGGATCACTGGAATCGGATCGCATCGGGCCGGCCAGAATCGACATCGAGCTCGGTCGATCGGATCGGGGTGGGCCCTGTAGTGGAGGGAGCACGGGCAGAGTGACGGACGCGACGCAGGGTTGGTGGTAGGGAGGGCCAGAAGGCGAAGCCCGAAGGGATTAACTATGCAAACCAGAACAGTGCGCGACCTCTCGCGGCCCGCCTCTCCTGTGCCGTTGCACTCCCTCGTAAGACTCCTCCTCCTCCTCCTCCTCCTCCTCCTCCTCCTAGCTTCGCACGAATCGGCTTGCCGAGGAGGACTGAGACCGTCGGACACAGGACGTTTAGGGACGCCCCCACTCCTCCTCCTTCTCCTCCTCCTTCTCCTCCCTCCTCCTCCTCATCCTGCTCTTCTTCCTTCTCCTCCGCTTCCTTCTCCTCCTCCTGCTCTTCGTTCTCCTCCTCTTCCTTTTTTGGGACCTTCCTTCCCGGGAGCTTCCTTCTCCTCCTCTCCCTTCTCCTCCTCTTGCTGCCGATGCTGCTGCTCCGCCCCATTCCCCCTCCTCCCCCACCCCTGCCCCTCCTTCCTCCGCCTCTTCCTCTGCTTCCTCCTCTCCCTCCCTCCGCTCCTGCTCTCACAACGAGCTACTAGGAGCCATGATAGAACTTTTTGCCGTTCACCTAGCCGTAGGCACATCGTTGTTGGATGGAGCATCCAGTGCCAGCGTCGTGGCGACAAGAGGCCGTGAATTCATTATTGTGCCCACCCTTGCGCGCGATCATGGCGTCACCTGCGGCCTCTACAACCGACTTCGATCAGTGCGAACACGGACAATGTGATCGCGCGCCTACACGGATACTGGCTTTGAGGATGTGTACGCTGCATGATCGCCTTTTGGAAACGCCTGGCCGCGGACGTTGCTCACACGGACAGAACGCCCACGAAGTGCTCATGGGCTTCGACGGTCAAAAGAGGGAATGGCGGACGGCCAAAAAGAATACATACCCCCCCGCGCTTTGTCAGGTATTGGCCCACGGTATAGTGGATGCGGTCAATCATATGCGTGTGACGAGCGACCCGCAGGCATGGCCCGAGGACATGGGGGAGGAGGAAGAGGCACTCCGTGGGGCACTATAGGCGTTTTACGTTGCTTGGGACCCATATCTAGGCACGAACGAGGATTGGGCCCCCGATTTCGTAGGAGCTACGACGCGACGCCTGCGCGCCGATCCTGAAAGCTCCAGGTTCTCGCCCCCCGAGCTCATAAGTGAAAGGCCAGATGCCGACGTGCCCGAGCCGTCGCTCGTGCATGACCCCAGCGCCACTCCTCGGCAGGCAGGGCCTGCTGAAGCAGACGAATAGCAGGAATACGCAGACGCCATTGCCTTTCTAGAAGGCACAACGTCTCCGTCACATGTCGCACCTGCTTCCGCCCCCCTCCTTTGCCTACTCCAGTGCAGCTCACGGGTGCACAGCGCGAAATAATTCAACGCAAACGCGCTGAGGCCAGAGATAGACGTACGGCGCGCCTTGCCGCACGCATAGCTCCATGGACGTTGCAGCCAAATTTCGGCAGCGGTATCCTGGGCTAAGTAGAAGGATGGGTGGAGGTTAGACGATGGGACAGGTGGGGTCTCGAGAGAGGGAGCTTCCTCCCCCCTTTTTTGCCCTCTCACCGCCAGCCGCTCTTTCTCTTGCCACAATGCGTTTCTGCGATGATGAAGTTGTCTATGTGGTGTTGACCCCTACCACCAGATTTGCCAAGTACGTCAGAGGCGACTGATTTCAAGCAGGCCGCCATGGCTAGTGCCATGGATGTTGCAGGTACAGCGGAGTCAGGTCCAGGCCCCTGGAATATCAGCTTGTGGGGACCATCCTGGGAGTTTCGATGGGGCGCTGAAACTTCTACGCTGTTTACCGAGGTCGTGTCTTGCCCACGCACACTTCTATGGACGACGCAGCCGGATCTCGGCAGCGACACCTTTCGACAATAGAAGGTTGGGGGGAGTATCAGGTCAGGTTTGGAGGAGGTTGTGGAGGGATTACGAGCGAGGAAGCGACCTGCCCCTTTTGTTCGCTCTCTCGCTCTCTCGCCGCCAGCCGCCCCGCCCCTCGTCGCCCTGCACATCATTGTACCCTCCCTGCCTGCCTCTCGTGCTGATTGATCAGTCAGACAGCTACGACGTGCCTGGGTGTGGGTCAGGTCCAGGTGGCCCTGGTAAGCAAGCAGCCAGGGCCTGTGGGGCATGGACCCCGCACACTTGTGTGCGGGGCGACTGCAGTCCTCCCCCTGTGACCGAATGCGCCCCCCCCTGCTGGTGCGGCCTCTCCAAGGCTGGCCGTTGGGGGGCAGCTCCGTTTCGCCCCCCCCGCCCGCGAAGTACAGTGGACGGCTCGCCAGCCTTGCTAGCGAGCATGCCCTCTCTATCTTGTTGCATGCTGCCAGCCTCTCTTTCTCTTCGAAGGGACGGATGCTTGGCGGGTCAGTCGGGTAGTTGGGCAGGATCGGATAGTCATCGGGCGCACTCTTTTGTGCACAAGATCATGCCATTTTGGCAGCTTATTGCTTTGTGATTTCTTGGGCAGGGAACAAGCGACACAAAGCCCGCAGGACCGCCGTCTCCCTTTGCGCAGCCTGCCTTACCGTCCCAGTCCCCAGTCCTAGCGCAGACCACGATTTTCAGTCGATGCCATGCGAGCCTGTTGTTCGCCTTTCGCCCTGCCGTACGGGTCGAGCCCCACGGCTGTCAGCTGACGCGGCTCTCCTGCGTGTCTTAGACCGCGGTGCGTCTCGTATATATGGGTCGGATTGGTGGGCGGGATTATTTGGGTTTTGGGTACGGAGCTCTGGTACTGTGTTACTGTATACTGCAATCCTTAGGTGCCCGTGCGATCCTGCATTGCCAGATGCATCGCTAGCCGCAGCGCCACCGTAACTCGACAGGCTAGTTGCCTCAACGAGCAAGCAATCCAAAAATCCGCTCCTGCTCCTCTGCCTCCCTCCTCCTCTCCCTCCGTCTCCCCCCTCCTCCTCTCCCTCCTCATCCTATCCTCTCCCTCTCATCCTATCCCTCCTCTCCCTCCTCCTCTCCCCTCCTCCTCTCCCTCCGTCTCCCCCCTCCCCCCTCCTCGTCTCTCCCCTGCGCCTCCTCCCTCTGCCCCTGACCAGGCCGCCTGCTGCCCAGCCTCACCATCGATCTCCACTGCTGCGGCGGGCGCAGCGTCGGCCGGGGCGTCTGCGGCGGAGGCCGCGCTGGGGGCCTCGGGGAGGGGAACGCTTTCTTCCCCCAGGTGCACGAGGGGGGGAGGGATCGCGAGCAGAGCAGAGGGGCGAGGAGGGAGGGAGGCATCAGGGGGGTTGGGAGGCGGGGAAGGGGATGGGGGGGGATAGTAGACCAGGACAAGCATTTCACTGACGTGTGCTGGGTGACTGCGTGTGCACCTGCCAGGGCGAGGAGCCCAGCGCCTCAAGCTGTTACAGCCCCCTGGAGGCGGGGGAGGAGGCCAGAACTGGAGAGCGGAGGGAGCCGTGGATCTTCGCTGTCAAGCTTTTCGCACGGGGGGGGCGTTGCGCCAGGACCTGGTCGACATCCCAGCACACGAGAGCAACCGAATCGCTCCTCAAAGAAGACCTTCTCATCCTTCCGTTGGTTCGGCTGCCCCAGGCCTGCCGCAGGCTCAATCCTCCTCTTCCCCTCACTGTGGTCTCCTGGTCTTGCGTCAGATGCATGTCGTGATGACTTGCGCGTTAGTCTCTGACACCGCGGGGGTCATTCCTCCTTGAACGATCGCGGGTTTCTGATTGCGCAGATAGCTCGATGTCGGCCGATTCTGGGCCACGGGTGATTTTCAACCTTGAACGCCCGCGCTGGGGTCGCAACCGCGTCGACGCGACATGAACCTACCGTATGGCAAGAACATTCGCCGAACCAATAAAGACTTCGTGAACCGTCTCCTCCTCCCGGGCCTGCCCGACAGCAGCTGCGATCGTCGGAGGGCGCCACAAAGAGGGGGTCGTAACAATTACCATCGAACAGCACACCGAGAGCCGACCGCTTCGATTCCTCCCCTGCTTGCAACCTCCCCCTCGCAATCCCCATCCTCTGAGGGGCAACGATAGGGGGGGATATGCATAGGGGGGTGAACAACGATCTGGAATCGGCGATGTATCGCCGATAGATCGGCGATAGGTCCCCGATAGTGAATCCGCACGTTTCTGAACAAATTGGGGCTATCGGGCCCCTACCGGCGATGAATGGGCGATTGGGTGTCGATGCATCACCCCCTATGCCTGTCCCCCTCTATTGGTGCCCCTGATCCTCCGCTCCGGCTTCCCCTCCTCGCTCCCCTCGCCCTCCCCATCTTTCGGCGGCGAGCGAGGGGCGGAAGTAAGAAGGAGAAGGCCTTCTCCGAAGGCGGCGGGGCTTCTCAGAAGCCCTCGCGCCTTCTGAGAAATTGTCCGCCTTCGGGAAAGGCTCAGAAAACTTCTCAGGAGGCCGTGGGACTTCCGGGCCTTCTGAGAAGGCCCGCCCCTTTACACTCCCCCACGGGCTCGCGGCCGAAGATGGCGGATGAATTCATCTCATGCCGAACTTCGACTGCTGATTAATCATCGCCTCCACCCGAGCCTCGGCAACCGCCGCGCCGGCACCGCCTGCCGGCTCCATGGTGGCATCGTCCGGTGCAGCGCTGGCTGGTGCGGCGTCTGCCGGAGCCGCCGCGGCGTCTGCTGGGGCGGCGTCCGCTGGAGCGGCGTCCGCGATAGCCGGTGCCTCTGGAATGGTGCCCGCTATCGCGCCCTCAGCGGGCGGGGCCTCGCGGTGGGGGGCCAGCACGAGGAGAGGCGGATGCGCACAGATTCTTTCGGTGGGGGAGGAAGAGGGAACGCGACAACACGACTTCATCCGACTCGGTACCAACCGCTGTGCGAATCAAAACATTGATGAGAAATCTAGGAATTTCGCGCGAACTGACCTGCGATGAGTAGGCAAACTCATGCAGCCAACCGTGGCCTACAAGAGGAATCAAGCGTGCTGCATGCAAATATCCCCCGAGACCCAAACGGCCAATGACTGTC